GCAGTTGAGCATCTGCCTTCAGCTCAGAGTGTGATCCTGGGGTCCTGGGATCAAGTCTCTCATCATGGTCCCTGCAGGGAGCCTGCCTCTCCCTCTGCCTATGTTTCTTCCTCTCTCTCTCTCTGTGTCTCTTTCTCATGATTAAATAAATAAAATCTTTTAAAATAAATAAAGAAATCACATGTTCCTGTATCCGCAAGAAGGACTAGGAATCATTGTGTGTCTACTATGGGCTGGGCCCTATGCTAAACCTTTTATGTTAGTTCACACATTTCTTTTTTTTTTAATTTTTTTAATTATTTATCCATGATAGTCATACAGAGAGAGAGAGAGGCAGAGACAAGGCAGAGACATAGGCAGAGGGAGAAGCAGGCTCCATACACCGGGAGCCTGACGTGGGACTCGATCCCGGGTCTCCAGGATCGCGCCCTGGGCCAAAGGCAGGCGCCAAACCGCTGCGCCACCCAGGGATCCCCAGTTCACACATTTCTGATAGTAATCACAGGAGGCGATTATTTTATTCCCATTTTAAGGTTAGGAAAAAAGGTGAGAAGTACCCTGTCCAAGGTTCACACAGCGAGTACATGTCAGAGCCAGAATTCAAACTCAGGAATGTCTGGTTCTTTCCATAGTGCCACTTCTTAAAGCCAAGGGCCTTCTAAGCACCCTAAAGGAGCTTCCATGGGAGAGGGAAATAATTCCCTCTCCTGGAAGAGCTTCCAGGATATGGACCTGTTAAGACACAAGGGGTTGGGACCTAACCAAAATAAGGAAATTTCCCCAATCCTCCCTTTTGGCATAGCTACATCTGAACTTGTACTTCACTTTTAACAGCCACAGTTGCTTCCTGACAGGCAGACAGTCTACTAGCACTGTACCATGTAGGCTCCTGGTATGAACCTGAACCTCAATTTAGATGTGCTCTCCCTTGGCTTTTACTATACTATAAACATAAAAGTTCCTATATTTAACTTTTTTTAAGTAGACTCCACACTCAACGTGGGGCTTGATCTCACAAACCTGAGATGAAGAATCACTACCGACTGAGCCAGCCAGGCGCCCTCCTACATTTAAATTTTTAACAGCTGATGAATAAGTGATAAATATGTTGGGCTTCAGTTTTTTGATCAACTGCTGATAGTAGCTTAGACTCAATAATATTCTCAATCACTGGAGAAGGGTTATTTTCCTTTCTTCAGGGTGTATTTCGCTTTCTTCCCCCAGATTACACTTGCGTATTTCATCCAGAGATCAGAGGGCTGACTGGACTATACTACTTTGGGTAAACCTCGGGATGTAGGATCAGGTAATCCTGATCTCTAGCTGGACAATCTAAAGTACACACACACACACACACACATCTCTAACATAAACGTTTCTTATTTTCTTCACAGTAACTCTGCAGACAGGAAATAGAATAGACCTTTAATACAGAAAGCCAGAATGGTAGAGTAGAGAAGCTATGAGTCTGGGGGCTAGACAGATCTGAGTTTGAATATCACTTCCACCTCCTGCCAGCTATGATCCTGAGAAAATTACTTCCCCTCGCTGGGCTTTGGTATCCTCATTTATAAAATGGATATAACCATGGGGATCCCTGGATGGCTCAGTGGTTGGGCGTCTGCCTTTGACCCAGGGCGTAGTCCTGGAGTCCCGGGATCAAGTCCCACATCAGGCTCCCTGCATGGAGCCTGCTTCTCTCTCTGCCTGTGTCTCTGCCTCTGTGTGTGTGTGTGTGTGTGTCTCATGAATAAATAAATAAAATCTTTAAAGAAAAATAAAATGGATATAACCACACAGGTGATACATAGGGACAAAAGCAAGGCATCCCCAACCCGGAATGGCTTTAAGAATGAGATTAGGAAAAAATCATGTTGTAATGGTTGTCAGGCCATCTATAGAAATGACACAAACCGAGGAAAATTTGTAAATGTTTAAAGAAATTTGAGATCTAATCCCAAATAATGTGATTAGGGTTTGGTCTCAAGAAGGCACATCTAAAGCTTTAAGAAATAAGTCCTTTAACACTCTTACACTGTTGGTGGGAATGTGAACTGGGGCAGCCACTCTGGAAAACTGTGTGGAGGTTCCTCAAAGAGTTAAAAATAGACCTGCCCTACCACCCAGCAATTGCACTGTTGGGGATTTACCCCAAAGATTCAGATGCAATGAAACGCTGAGACACCTGCACCCCGATGTTTCTAGCAGCCATGTCCACAATAGCCAAACTGTGGAAGGAGCCTCGGTGTCCATCGAAAGATGAATGGATAAAGAAGATGTGGTTTATGTATACAATGGAATATTCCTCAGCCATTAGAAATGACAAATACCCACCATTTGCTTCAACGTGGTTGGAACTGGAGGGTATTATGCTGAGTGAAGTAAGTCAATCGGAGAAGGACAAACAGTGTATGTTCTCATTCATTTGGGGAATATGAATAATAGTGAAAGGGAATATAAGGGAAGGGAGAAGAAATGTGTGGGAAATATCAGAAAGGGAGACAGAACATAAAGACTCCTAACTCTGGGAAATGAACTAGGGGTGGTGGAAGGGGAGGAGGGCGGGGGGTGGGGGTGAATGGGTGACGGGCACGGAGGGGGACACTTGACGGGATGAGCACTGGGTGTTATTCTGTATGTTGGTAAATTGAACACCAATAAAAATTAATTTATTAAAAAAAAAGAAATAAGCCCTTTATACAAAAATCAAGTATCATCAAAGCTGAATCAAAAATATGAGATATAGTCCTTTAAAAATTAAAAAGAGAAATGCATAGATCTATATAATCATAATTAGGTTTTCCCTATAAAAGGAAGTCCCCAAAGTTAATCTTTTGGTGAAGCACCTCTAATACTGTCTAGGGATAAGAGAACCTAACCCATAGTTCATAGGCAAGCAGAGCACCAGAGTGCCATGAATATCATCTCATTTCCCTTTGCTCTGGGGGCCCTATGCTCACCAAGAAACTTTCCATTTATTCTATTCTATTCATATTTGCTTTCTCACATATCATTATAACAGGCAGATGTGCTAACCAGATAACATGAATGGTGTGGTCCTCTAGGCATGTATAGTTCTTCATGTAAATTAATAAATTGGTATTCTGATTTATACATTGGTCCCATAGCAGTTTGTTTAGTATGAATCAATCTTCTTTTGATATACTCACAGAATTAAAATTCTGAAGCAAGATTTTGAAAGATTGACAAAAACTTAGTACTGCTGAGTGTGTGAGGAAACAGCAGATCCTCAGGCTGAGCAATTTGTCTGGACAAGAATTTGACAATGTGTTATCAAAAAATGTACACTCTTTTACCTAACTAATCCTACCACTAGGAAGTTAACTTTAGGAGATAATCACACAAGGAAAAAAGTAAGAATGTTCATTAAAGCATTGTTTATAATAATTAAAAATCAGATATTTGAGTTGTTCTTATTGATAGTGCACTAACTAAATCAATTACAAATAAAATGGAGTACAGGGCATCAGGGTAGTGCAGCTTGATTTCAGCTCAGGTCATGATCTCAGGGTCATGAGATCGAGCCCCATGTGGGGCTCTGTGTTCAGCATGGAGTCTGCTTAAGAATCTCTCTCCCTCTGCCTCTGCCCCTCCCCAATGCCCTTCTCTAAAATAAATTTAAAATAAATCTTTTTAAAAATTAAAAAATAAATGTACTATGCAATAAATAAAATAAAAAGAAGGATGTGACTCTATATATATTGACATGGAAAGATGTCCATGACATACACATGAGTAAAAACAATAGATGTAATATCTCATCTGTACATAACTGCATATTTTTTGGTACCATGTGTAGTGTTTCCCTTGTATATTCTACAGAACACTATAACCCCATGAGTCCTGCCATGGTCTATGAAATGCCACGTATTATAATCATCTTTGGAAAATTCACAGTGCCTTTTAACATCATGAGTACTCTTGATGCCATTGTTTTCATATTGTTTAACTTAGCATTATCCAAATTAGCTGCATCATAGAATCCTTTTTTCACATAACATTTTTTAAAATACAAAGCAGAAATAAATTAAATACAAAGCAACAAATTTTCCAGAAAAACCTTTGGGAAACATGGGCATCAGAGAGCTGATAGATTATTCCCCAGAATGCTAATAGTCACTCTGTATATCTATCTAGCTACCCAAAATCCAGACCACTACGTAAAAACAGCTACTTACAAGAGAAAAATGACAGGTGTAGGAACAATAACAAATGCTATATGCTGGGGACCTGCTCTGTGTCATGCTAAGGTCTTCATTCTGAAAATGAGTGTGAAATGAGGAAAAAAATCGAACCTGAGATCAGATGACTTACCTAAGCTTACCCAGCTAGTAAGTGGCCAAGCCTCAGTTTGAACCACAGATTAGTCTGAGACCAATAAAGATGCTCTTTTCAGGGTGCCTGTGTGGCCCAGATGGTTAAGCATCCAACTCTTGGTTTTGGCTCAGGTCACAATCTCAGGGTCGAGGGATCGAGCCCCACATTAGTCTCTGTGCTCAGCATGGATCTGCTTGAGATTCTCTCTCCCTCTCCCTCTGTCTCTGCCCTCACGCCTTCTCTCAAATAAATAAATAAATAAAATCTTTTTTTAAAAGGATGCTTTTTTCACTACATTATCCTCTGTTTCTTCCACAACATATTCATCCTTTATTTAAGGTCCCACTTAAGCAGCCCACCAGCCCACCAACCCCAGGCACCATCCCTCTGGTTTCCCAGGTACTTCTTTCAAACCTCCAGGTGAAATAAGAGAAAAGTAAATTACCTAACACAGTTCCTAAAATGTGGTAGATTTCATACTGAATTCCTGAAATGACTTTCCTCTCATGGGTTTCAATATAAAGAACCTAACTACTTTCTTGGGCTCTTTGCTGTGTTATACAACTTTGATTATGAAAACGAAGGCTTTACTATTAATGAAGCATATGGTATTTAAATACTTGATTTGGAATGAAAGCAAGATGCTGGCAGGGAATACTTACTTCAAATCTCACAGAGTAAGTGTAGGTTATGTTCAACTTCTCTGTATTTTCTCCAGAAATCTCCATAGGGGGTCCACTGCAAGTTAGGTTGTTTTCATCTGAATGCTTATAGCTAATAAAAGAGGGGGGAGGAATTTTTAGACCAAACTGCCACTGTGAATTTCCAATTCATGGCTATTCAGGCTCATAACGATAGCAGACAGAAAAAATATGCCTTTCATTATATTACATATTTAAAACTTCTTATGACTTCAAATACCTTTGTTTCTAAATGCCCCTAACAGTCAGATGGGAGTCAATATACTGCTCAAAACAGAATACAGGTACCCTCGCTTTTCTGAGGCCCACTCTATGCCACTTCACTTTTATGCAAGATTCACATTTGCACCTGTTTTCACTAACTGAAAGAAAGGCAGAGAGGATTTTCACTTTTATGAAAAATCAAAAAGAAAATTCAGCACTGGTTTTGCAGGGAGCCATTATAGAGGCAGCTTGCACCCCAACAGTGAGAGTGGCACCCCCCAAGCCCCTTCACACTCATCATTTTATTTATTTTTTATTGGTGTTCAATTTGCCAACATATAGAATAACACCCAGCGCTCATCCCATCAAGTGCCCCCCTCAGTGCCCGTCACCCAGTCACCCCCACCCCCGCCCACCTCCCTTTCTACCACCCCTTGCTCATTTCCCAGAGTTAGGAGTCTCTCATGTTCTGTCTCCCTCTCTAATATTTCCCACTCATTTTTTCTCCTTTCCCCTTTATTTCCTTTCACTATTTTTTATTCCCCAAATGAATGAGACCATATAATGTTTGTCCTTCTCCGATTGACTTATTTCACTCAGCATAATACCCTCCAGTTCCATCCATGTCGAAGCAAATGGTGGGTATTTGTCATTTCTGATGGCACACTCAGCATTTTGTTATCAAGCCACCAGAGGTTTGAACTATGTGAGTACCTGTGCTTTCTCTCAGGTTTATCTTGTGGTATCCATTAGCAAGATGTGTCTTAAGGTATCAGAAAAGCCTGAGAGGGATCCATGGGTGGCTCAGCGGTTTAGCGCCTGCCTTCGGCCCAAGGAGTAATCCTAGAGACACGGGATCGAATCCTACATCAGGAGCCCTGCATGGAGCCTGCTTCTCCCTCTGCCCCCCCCCCCAGTGTCTCTCATGAATAAATAAAATCTTTTTTAAAAAAAGCGTAAGAGAGGTGACTTAGGGGGTCTGGGAATGCTCACAAAATTTTTCATATAGATCAATGGCAATTGCTTCTTCACTTTGGCATTTCAGCTTCCAAAAGCTTTTGTAGGAACACTCTACCTTCAGATAGCAGGGCAAAACATGTCCCTAAGAAGCTTCTCATGGGGCACCTGCATGGCTCAATCAGTAGAGCATGCAACTCTTGATCTCAAAATTGTAAGCTTATCTACCATGTTGGGTGTAGAGGTTACTTTAAAATAAAATCTTTATTTTTAAAAAATATTTTATTTATTTATTCATGAGAGAGAGAGAGAGAGAGAGAGAGGTGGAGACACAGGCAGAGGGAGAGGCAGGCTCCATGAAGGGAGTCCAATGTGGGACTCGATCCTGGGTCTCCAGGATCACGCCCTGGGCCGAAGGCAGGCACCAAACCAGTGAGCCACCCAAGCGTCCCAAAATAAAATCTTTTAAAAGAAAAGAACCATCTCTTTGCCTGTGGATAGACTTTTTTAAAAAGTCCTATTAGCAAATGGCTTTATTTCTCACCTTTCATCTCATCCCTCTTCGATATATTAAACATCCTATCTTGTAATCTTAGCTGTAGGCTTAGAAAATCAAACAGATGGAGCAGGAATCATATTTATAAGCAGCCAGAGATCTGAGGGCCTACTCTGTGTAAAATGCCATGCTTAGCTGATGAAAGGTAGTGAAGACATAATATATGCAAGCCTTTTGTATTTGAAAAGGATGATTATAAAAAATAGAAGGTGGAAAACAAAAACTAAAGAAGTTTGAAATTAGACAGGACTGATGAAGCAAACAAGTGCCTGGTCATGAAAAAAAGACTGTAATATCACTTAAAAAATAAAAGAGGAATAAAGAGAGAGAAATCAAAAGGAGAAAACAGCAGTGCTTCCCTTTTCAATTATTTACTAAACATACAACTTATCCCTTGACTTCTGTTTAAAGACTAATATGCAGTCCTTACAGGATTGTTATTTCTACATGCTTATGCACAATAAAGCCATTCACTCACAATTTGGGGAGTTATTGACATGCTCCTCCTCCTATTCATTTTTGTAACCCTAGTGTCTGGCACATGATATGCCCCTACTAAGTGTTTGTAGGGTGAATTTTATTTAAAGCCTAAATATATTTTTAAATAGCTATGAATTGGGGCGCTTGGGTGGCTCAGTCAGTTAGGCATCGGACTCTTGATCTCAGCCCAGGTCTTGATCTTGGAGTTGTGAGTTCAAGCTTTGCGTTGGGCTCCACACTGAGTGTGGAACCTACTTTTTAAAAAATTTAAAAATAAAAAATAAAATAAAACAGCTATGAATTAAAGAAACTATCCCTATTAAGGCTTGTGATAAAAACTTAACATCTACAGAAAAACATAACATATGTCATAATAATGCACATCAAGGTTTACTGTTTAAATATGGGCCTTGAATCCAGCACAGGAAATATCTGCATTTCAAAAGAGAGAGATTATGCTGCAAAAAGGGTATTAAGATCTCCAATCAATGTAAGTCCTATTTTAAACCACCGGCCTTATGTATGGCCTTCTGGGCCATTTTCAAAATGTTGACCTTTACTAAGTGAGATGGGAAGTCACTGGAAGATTCTGAGCAGAGAGTTGACATGAACTGACATCTCAAAAGGAATGCTATCTTGAGAACAGACTGCTGGAAGACAAGGATGGTACCAGGGAGACTGGGGAGAGTTTTGCCATCAGTCAGGTAAGAAACAATGTTGTCCTGGACCAGATGATTGTGGTGGAGGTGAAGAGAAGGGGTGGATCTTGACTATATTTTAAAAGTAGAGTCCCATGGTCTGCCAAAGGGTTGGAATAGATACAGGGTATAAGTGAAGAATGATAAAGAGGAGTCAAGGGTGCTGCCATAGTTGGGAGGCCTGAACGACTGGAAGAATGTAGTTGCTATCTGCTGAAATGGAGAAGACAACAGGAAAAACAGGTTGGAGGAAAGATTACAAGTTCATGTTCAGTCATGTTAAATTTCAAATGACAGAGCTCCTGGATGGCTCAGTGGGTTAAGCTTTAGACTTTCGTTCAGGTCATGATCTCAGGGTCCTGGGATCCAGCTCTGGGTCAGGCTCTCTGCTCAGTGGGGAACCTGCTTCTCCCTCTGCTCCCACCCCCCACTTGTACACTCTCTCTCTCCCAAATAAGTAAATAAAATATTTTTTAAAAATTTCAAATGTCTACTAGACATCCACATGGTCATGTCAAGTAGACAGCTAGATATACAAGTTTACATATCTAAGTTGTTGTGGGATCTAACACCATGAGACAGGATAAGATTACCAATGCGTTAGTATATATGAAGAAGAAAGAAGTTCAAAGACTCAGTTCTGGGGCCTTCCAATATGAAGATGTTGGAGAAATGAGAGGACTGATAAGCAACCAGTGAGACAAGAGAAAATCAGTAAAGTATGGTAATCCAAAAGCCAAATGAAGCAAGTAATTTTAGGAAAAAGAAATTATCAACCATGGTAACCATCAGGGAAATTAGCTAGGTACAGTCCCTAACAGAAAACACAAGACTGGAGGCCTAGAATGCCATTAGGCCTAACTCACTTCTTATGACCTTGAGCAGATTTTCTCAAGGGACCCACATAAATGACCTTTACAATGCTTTACAATGATTAGATAAAAGTTTTATTGCATGCATACATAAACTGTTACTATAGGCAGTGTAGAATAAATACAAGTCTAAAAATTATTTTCTTGGCTTTTTCACCTGAATCTGACAATATGAGATATAACTGTAAAGCTTAAGTTTGATTTTCATATAGCTGATGAGACTAGCTTCCTGGATGATCATACTTTGCCTGTTTACTACCTAATGACTTTGAATATGAGCAGCCATCCTGAGTTGGACCTCGCAGTCCATCATCCTGACATTTTGACATTACATACACAAAAAAAGCATAGGGGATTGCCTTTGACAATGACTAGTATTTCCTGGCCTCTCTTGGCAGCTATCTTTATTCCCTATTGTTCACAAATATGTCCTGATTCCTTTAATTCTTCTTTCACTTCCTAAGTGTAACACCTTGTGAAGGTAAATAATCTTCAAAATGTTTAATATAGACATTAACTTGAAAAGAATATCCTTTTACTAAGACAAACCAGAGTTGGAAAGTACCAGTGTTCCTCACCGCTTGGGGTCTATTTAATGAAATCCATAGGCACTTTTGCCTAGAAAAATACACATAAAATACACATAAAAATTTCCAGAGTTTGATACATCAGGGTCCATATTCTAAACTCCTAATTCAGTTCTATCCTTCACCGATGAGGAAATTAAGCCTATGACACATCAAGTTAACCTACTCATAGTCAAAAAGCTTGGTGCAATACAGTCTCTAATCTCTCCCTTTGGGAACCATCTGTGACAGACAGAACAAACTTGGCTGAAGTCAAATAGGGCATTAGCCTTAAAAACAATGAAATCTGATTCATTTCTATGAACTTAGGGTTTGGCTTGCAAAATGCAACCAGGAGAGATGAGAATAAAATCCAAATTTCCTAATTCCTTCAGTTAGAAATTCCTTTCCTATAGTTCAGAAAACTATACAACATGTGCCTTCTTTAATATACCCACATAAGTTTCAAGGAATAACTTCTTTCCTCTATCTTAGTACTTTAGGTTTTATAATATTTTGCCCATAATGGACCATGATTTTATACATTGTGCACTATGTTTCCCTCTCTGTCTGAAGAGTTCTAACTCTAATTGAAGTTTCAAAGGATCTTAGTTGGAACATTAAAGGTCACCCGTCTAGTCTCTTATCCAATGCTGATTGTCCATTAAATTCATTCAGCACTTACTTACTAGTGACCACACGCTATAATGGATGCCTAATTATAAACTCTCTAATACCTGAGCCATTCAGGCTCTTTCTATAAATGTCCAGGGATAAGGTACTCACTAATTCTTGAGATTGCTTATTTAACTGCTAGAGAATTCTGTTAGTAGATTATTCCTTAAACTCATCTGATACCTGCCTAACAGACTCCAGTAATAGACCTGTCCTCTGAAGAAACACAAATCTAAATCTGAGCTCTTTGTCGTATGGCAACAAGCAAAGAGTGTCAGGATGCCCTCAATAAGTCTATTTCCTTCTAGATCTGCCAATTCTTCCTCACACTGCACGGTATTCAAATGCTAACTATAGGTAGAAGAGAATAAATGGCCTGTTTGATTTTTCAAACTGTATGTCTAAGGTTACATTACACATGTATCCTAAAAATGAAAATTCTAGTTGAGAACTTCTACATTCTGAATTAATTTTTAAATTAAAGAAACTAATTAAAAAGGTATTCTATAATTACCTTTGGGGGTCAAGTCTAGCAGCAACCAATCTTACAACACCCCAATTTCTTTCACTTTCTTTGTGATATGTAATAGTAATATCAATGTGGTTGAAGAGGTAGAAAGTATTACTTTTGTTGAAGTCAGACTGCAAAAAGAAATGGAAATTTTAAAGAAGACTGAACTTTTCTAAGAAACTAAAAAATATAAAATCTGACCATTGAATCAAAATGAGATCTACTATAATATTATTGGTTATATTCTCTATGCTTTTTATCTTCATAACTTATTTATTTTATAACTGGCAGTTTGTACCTCTTAATCACCTTCACCTATTTTGCATCCCCCACTCCCCTCCCCTCTGGCAGCCACCAATTCTCCCTTGGAACCCTCAGAAGGAACCAACTCTGCCTATACCTTGATCTTGGACTTCTGGCTTCCAGAACTGTGAGACAATAATTTTTTTTTAAGATTTTATTTACTTCAGAGAGAGAGAGCATGCAAGTGCACACAGTGGGGGAAAGGGCAGAGGGAGAAGGAAAGAGAGAATCTTTTTTTTGTATATTTTTATTGGGATTCGATTTGCCAACGTATAGCATAACACCCAGTGCTCATCCTGTCAAGTGCCCCCCTCAGTGCCCGTCACCCAGTCACCCCAAACCCCCGCCCACATCCCCTTCCACCACCCCTTGTTCGTTTCCCAGAGTTAGGTGTCAGAGAGAGAATCTTAAGCAGACTCCCACTGAGCAGGGAAATGACACAGGGCTGGAACCCAGGACCCTGAAATCATGATTTGAGCCAGTCGGACACTTAGTGGACTGAGCCACTCAAGTGCCCCAAACTTCTGTTGTTTTAAGCTACCCATTTTGTAGTGTGTTTTTAGCACAGCCCTAGCAAAAACAAAGGGCTTTGCAATATGAGCTTTGCAATCAGACAGCGTTTACTAGCTATATGACCACAGACAAGTCATTTAACCTCTTTGAGCCTCAGTTTCCTCTTTTTAAAAATGGGAACAATATGGGTGCTTGGCTGGTCCAGTTGGTATAGGATGTGACTCCTGATCTCAGGATCATGAGTTTGAGCCCCACATTGGGTGTAAAGATTACTTATAAAAAAATTTTAACTAAAAAAATTGGGGAGCATAATAGGATTGGTCATAGAATTCTTTTTTTTTTTTTTTTTGGTCATAGAATTCTTGAGGATTAAATAGAACAATGTGTGTAAAGTACTTAGTGCAGTGCTTGGCATAGGAAACCTTCAATAAATATTAGCTATTACACTACCCAGGCCCTTCAATCTTCAGAAAAGGAGTCCAAATGAACCTTGTCAATCACCACATTGAGTAATCTACAACATGCAGGACTCCTAGATTAAGAATTATGGCTCTGCAAATTCCAGAATTAAAGGTGATGGCCCTGAAGGAATTTTAGAGATCCTTTAGTACAATGGATAGAGAAGAGGGTGAGAGTGATCCTATGGGGGAATGTCACAATCAGCTTGGGGTGGAGAGTAAGTATTTCTCACTGCAGTGCTGTCCATAATCGCAAAGAACTAGAAACCACCAAGACTATCAATATAGTTAAATGAAACATGGTGTGGCCATATAGAGAAATAAAATGCAGCAAGATTTGCAGATATTAATATAGAGTATATCATGTATTGGATGTCCATGACATATACTAATAGAAGCAGCCCAGCAGAGTGGTTAAGGATGTGGTCTCCACAGTCAAGCTGAAAGCTCAGGTATGGCATGTACTAGCCTGTGTGACCAAGTTGCTTACCCTCTCGGTGCCTCAGTTTCTACATCTATAATGTAGAGATCATAACAGTACTTATTATGTTAATGGCTGCTGTAAGGATTAAATCAACCCATGAAAAGCATCTCAACCACTCTTGGGCATAAAGCACCCAGTATGGTAGGTAAAGTGGTAACAAGGCCCTTTAGGATCTGGATGCTGCTTGTCTCTCCAGAGTCAGCTACATGACTACAAAGAATTCTTTATTTTGTGTTCTCACAGCACTCAGCTCATAGCTTAGTCACTGACCACATTGTAGTCGGTGTATTTCCATGTTTACATCCCCTAGTCAATTGTGTTCTCCAGTAGATCACAAGGTTAGAAACTTTGCTTCATTCATTCATTCAGCAAATATTTTTGAACTTCTATTATGTGCCAAGCACTTCTTAATTATGCCCTAAGAGCTAATATCCTACAGGGGCTCAAATAATACAAGAGGTAGTTTGGTATGTTGCAAAGAGAACAGAATTTGGATAAAAAACATTGAAATGCAATTCAGATTTTGCCATATATAGTCTTTTGTATGTCTGTCTTTCTTGGCTTTAGTTTTCTTAAAATGGGGTACCATCACTTACTTCATAAAACTGTTAAGTGGATTAAGTGATAAATTATAGGGAAAGAACTAGCATAACACCTGGCACAGAATAAGGAGATCATCAGATGTTAGTTTCCTTCCTACTAGATGTTAAAATTACACTTTAAGAGCACCTGGGTGGCTCAGTCAGTTAAGCATCTGCCTTTGACTCAGGTCATGATCCCGGAGTCCTGGGATCAAGTCCCACCTTGGGGTCCTTTCTCAACGGGGAGTCTGCTTCTCCCTCTCCCCTCCTCCTACTCATTCTCTCTCTCTATCTCTATCTCTATCTCAAATAAGTAAAGGTTTAAAAATCTTTTTTAAAAATGAATAAAAATGGGCAGCCCGGGTAGCTCAGCGGTTTAGCGCCTGCCTTTGGCCCGGGTCATGATCCTGGAGACCCAGGATTGAGTCCCATGTTGGGCTCCCTGCATGGGGCCTGCTTCTCCCTCTGCCTATGTCTCTGCCTCTTTCTCTGCATCTCTCTGTGTCTCTCATGGATAAATAAAATCTTTAAAAAAATAAAATAAAAATGAATAAAAATAAAATGCTTTAAAAACTTCAACTAGATTTCCAATTCCAATCTAATTTGGGCTAAATCTCCTGCAGAAAACTACAAATGGTAAATACAACAAAGATCTTCATAAAAGCAACATGAACATAGAATGTACAACATCAAAAGTAAACCCTACAGACTCCTGGGTGGCTCAGCAGTTGAGTGCCTGCCTTTGGCTCAGGGCATGATCCCGGAGTCCCGAGATCAAGTCCCATATCGGGCTTCCTGCATGGAGCCTGCTTCTCCCTCTGCCTAGGTCTCTGCCTCTGTGTGTGTGTGTGTGTGTGTGTGTGTGTGTCTCATGAATAAATAAATAAAATCTTTAAAAAAAAAGTAAACCTTAATGTAAACTACAGACATTGGGTGTCAATGTAGGTTCATCAATTGTATTAAATGTATCACTCTGGGGGGCCTGGCTGGCTCGGTTGGTAGAGATGCAGCGCCCGATCTCAGAGTTATAAGTTTGAGCACCATGTTGTGTATAGAGATTACTTAAAAATAAAATCTTCTTAGGGGCACCTAGGTGGCTCAGGCATTTAGGCCTCCAGCTCTTGGATTCAGCTCAGGTCACAATCTCAGTGTGGGGAGATCGGGCCCTGAGTTGAGCTCCCTGCTCACCACAAAGCCTACTTATTCCTCTCCCTCTGCTCCTCCCCTAGCTCATTCTCTCTCTCTCTCTCTCTCTCTCTCTCTCTCTCATAAATAAATAAAATCTTAAAAATAAAATAAAATCTTTTTTAAAAAAAGTTTAAGAAATAAAATAAAATGTACCACCCTAGGGGCTCAGCAGCTGAGCCTCTGCCTTCTGCTCAGGGTGTGATCCCAGGGTCCGGGATCAAGTTCCGCATTGGCCTCCCTGCAAGAAGCCAGCCAGCTTCCCCCTCTGCGTATGTCTCTGCCTCTCTTTATGTGTCTCTCATGAATAAATAAATAGAATCTTAAAAAAAAAATGTACCACCCAGGTAATGGAGGTTGATAATGGAGGAGTTTGTGTACATATGAGGGCAGGGGTATATGAGAACTCTCTGTACATTTCCTCTTAATTTTGCTGTGAATCTAATTCTGTTCTAAAAAATAAAGTCTTTTAAATTAAAGACAAAAACAAGACATGAGCTGACAAGAAAGTAAGGAACTACCATGGCAAATTCTATTTGCCAAATTTCTGGAGGAAAAAAGAAGCTAGAGAGGTAAGCTGGGTGAGGGAGCACAGATGCTGCTTTTGCCCTGAGGACACCTGCTGATCTGGGCAAACTTGAACTTAGGTTTGGGTAGCCTCATTAGATAAAAGAGGAGAGGACTCTGGAAGGGCCCTCCCAGGTGAGAAGGCTAATATGAGACCCTCTGCACATTAAGCTGAGACCACCCACTCCTCACAAAACCAGTACCCTCAGGGTAAAGATGAGCTAGAAGTAAGCCTTCTCCACACTCCCAAGGGACTGTAGGGAAGACGGCCTTGATCCTAAACAGAAAAGGGGAGTGGGGAACTGTCCTTGAACATTTGTGGCCACAAGCCAGCCCTAACAGAGATTTGTAGTTTGGATTCCCATCACCTAAGGGGCCCCAGAAAATTCAAGTTGTGAATTTGCTTTAAGGTGGTCCCAGACTGGTATTTTCCAAATATGCTTTGCACAAGTAAATGAAAATCTTCTCTGGAGGAAAGGACTTTGATCCTAAGATTCAAAGAAACTCCAGGGATCCCTGGGTGGCGCAGCGGTTTGGCGCCTGCCTTTGGCCCAGGGCGCTTTCCCGGAGACCCCGGATCGAATCCCACATCGGGCTCCCGGTGCATGGAGCCTGCTTCTCCCTCTGCCTGTGTCTTTGCGCCTCTCTCTCTCTCTCTCTCTCTCTCTCTCTCTCTCTCTCTCTGTGACTATCATAAATAAATAAAAAAAATTAAAAAAAAAAGAAACTCCACAAACAATTTGACAATTTGGGGGGTGGGGTGAGGAGCGGAGAGAGAGAGAGAGAGAGAGTCTAGAACAGGCTCCACCCTCAGCACAGAGCCCAATGCAAGGCTCGATCTCATTACCCTGAGATCATGACCTGAGCCAAAATCAAGAGTCAGTCGCTTAACCAACTGAGACCCCCAGGCGCCCCTCCACAATTTTTAAGAATCATGTATATGCAGTCAAAATAATGAAGCACACAAGGAAAAAGGGCATCAAAAGCAAGAACCAGCAGAAACGAACTTGCAAAAATTTCAGATCCAGGAATAATCAGAA